AGCAAACGTATACTGTGTATGGCTTTCACTAATGCTAAGTTATTCAACAGGTGAAAAACATGAATTAATTCATGACGGACTCTTACATAAACATGTTTCTTTCACATTCTTCCAATGAAAAAAGAAACACAATTGCGTGTTGCCTTTCAAATAATTTAATGTATACACGTACAAGTTTTCTACACAAATTTTATAGAGACAGGATGTTTTGTGAATGATGGCCTTTACAGGTATATAAAGGAAGATTTTCAATAGCAGCCTTATCAGGAAGAAGTCTGGTCTATGATGGTTTGTGATGGTTTATGATAACATTTACGGTACATGATTCCTGAGATATTAATCAAAATCATAATAGACACGGTTCATGTTTTACAACAGAAAAAATAGAATATAAAATTATCAGCTGTATCTGAAGGAGCCATTACAGTAAAGAAATCTGAAGTCGTTTTCAGCCTCCTCATTAATTATTGGTCCTGACTGGGTCCTTGTATAACTTGAGCGATTTAAATAGCTCCTATTATAGACATACGCTTTATCGTACGGACTCCAACACATCATTAACCCTTCATAGCAAAAACATCACAAAAATGTGTATTCATTATAATATTATAAACAAATATTTATGTAAAAAACACTGAACGGTTCCCGGCTGACAAGGTCGTCAAATAATACCACGCCTTTCTACGTTCTTGTTATTCCGTTTTTTAGATTTATATGTTTAACGTTATTCTGATATTCTGTCTTTTGTTCTTTTAATATAGTTTATATAAGCGTATACGTGATGGTGTATAAAACGAATGTGGCGACGGATATGGTGTACAGTATTATTCACATTTTCCTTGAAAATATTCATTTATCAAAAAATGTGTCATCCCATCCTGGTATATAAATGTTCGTAGGCGCAATCTTAATGAGATTTAACTGAGATGATGGTACAAGTCCAGAAACTCTGTGTTCTTTTGAGCCTAATCGGCGTTTGTAAAAAGGTGGTGAGTGCATAAGGCGGCTATATGTTACACTGGAGGGTCTTTTTTTAAATGGAAAAACAATCGCTAACACTATATATAGATCAACTAAATGTACGCAATAATACGTAGGTATATCTAAAAATAGATTACCTGATTCTAGATATATGTTTCAGCCATGTGGTACGAAACAAATGTACCTGCCACATGCGCTCACCCCTTTAAAAATTGAAATCTATGTCATTTGAAAATTTGGAATCTGTAACGAGTGGTTAGTTTTAATTGTATGACGTCACAAGTCTCTACCAATCAAAACTATGTCAACTCAACTTCAATTCATTTTACTGGCACATCAATCATTCGTGTTGTCTCGGATGATAACGCGCCGATGATCTTATGATTAGGAGGAAACCTGAATTATCGAAGAAAACTTGTCGTACAGATTATAAAATATTACGGTCATATATCTGTAGTAAGTCACGAGAGTAGGGTGTTGTAAATATGAGTTTGTACTTGTAATAAAGGATTTGAAATGAGTGATAGGTTCTTTCACTATTTCTTGGAAACACGATGGATATGACAATGAGAGTGTTGACTATAGAATTTAGCGACACGCTCGAACAGGTACGAGTAGATTAAGATGATTTGTGGGGTAAAACACACCTGTTTACAAATAAATGCCAACTTAAAATCAAACGGACAATAGTCAATAGGATAATGCACCTAGTAAATGCATGCTATTCGTTTTGTCGATAATAAATATGAAATATCTAACTTATATTTTATCCCGAATCGGAAGTGTTTGCTCTACCGAAACTTGTTAAGTACACGACCTAAAGGGAAATTTATAACTTAATGAAACTGAAATCGGTGAAATAGAACGATTATGAAGTGAATATTTTGTTTTTTGTATACAGGTTCTGGTTGTTAATTTATCCAATGATAACAAGATAATTCAAGATTTAAAAATAATATTCAGTTTTAAATAATGATGCCACTTTCAACTGTTTAGTCGATAAAATAGAAGCTTAAAATACATTTTAAATGAAAAAGAAAATATACCACAGCGTCACCACAAAATAACAAAATCCGATCTCTACAAACATTGACGCGCTAGGATAGCAACAACAACTGAAGCGACACCAAAACAAAAGGAAAATCAACATAATGGGAAGCATTTCCGGTACCGCATGTGGCACCCGTCATGATGTCCTCTGTCAACGTAGGTAATCGCCGATTTAGGACATAATGAACTCTGATACTTAGGAATGGCGTCGTATTCACAACCATAATATGTCTTTTGCGCCAAGCCAGGATACCTCTATTGAGTAGCAGCAAAATGAATGGTTCCAGTGGACACCCTGTGCCGGTCACTGACTGGCAGGTGAGAGTGGCTGGATATAGAATGTTGACCAATGTTCACTGACCAGTTATTGGCTCTACACTGGTCGTGCTAGTCAGTGTCTGACCGCACAGTCTCTTGTTCCCACGCGTCCATTATAAAATGTAATGCATACTAGTATAACAATAACATTGTCATCTAGGAAAAGATTGTATTGTTGTTTTGTAGATTTTCGCAAAGCGTTTGATTTTGTGAACAGGTTAAGCTTATGGCGCAAGTTGACTAGGCTTGGTATTCGAGGAAAAATGTTGTCTGTTTTAAGTCGCTTTGTTAATCAGTCAAATCCTGTGTTTCAATTAATGGGAAATGCTTTTTTTGAAAACAAGGTCGGTTCATTGCAAGGGGAAATTTTGTCACCATTACTGTTTTCACTTTTTATTTATAATTTTGAAATGTCCTTTATTGAAAACGGTGCAAAAGATTACGACTTCGGTGAGTTAAGTTTGTTTCTGTTGTTTGTAAATTACAATAATAAATTCACTTCTATCCTAAAACAATTAGCTAGCCAAGGACGAAAAGCTGCGTTTGCATTATTTTCAAAGTGTTCATCATTAAACTTAAATGTAAAAACTATGCTACAGCGTTTTGATACATATGAAAGCAGTATCCTTTTGTATGCAAGTGATTTTGGTGTATGCACAAAGCTCCAGAGATAGAACATGTACATTTAAATTTTTGTAAGAAATTACTAAAAGTGAAGAATTCGGCCAATAATAACATGGTATATCTTGAATTGGGACGGTTACCTCTAGTTTGGATGAGACAAATTAGAATGATGAAATATTGGTTTAAGATATTAAAATCTTAAAATTGTATTATATCCGCTCCCTATAGATGTTTATTACAATGTTGCAGTAAAAAAACCCACTGAGCTATAGCAATAAGAGATGAAATAGTCTAGTGATGTTTGGTTAAACCCATGTATTTCTCAGCAAAATTTGTTATTACCATTGATAAAACAAAGGGTTTTTATCAAGGCATACAATCCCTAAGGGCCTCGGTGGAAAACTCTCCAAAATGTTTATTGTATAAACAAATCATAGATTTTGGAGAATCATTACAATTTTACATCACAAAATATATACCAAAGAAATATCGCATTTGTTTAACTCGAATCCGTACATCTACACATTCTTTGGCTGTAGAAGTTGGAAGGTTTAATGATATACCTAGAGAACGTCGATATTGTAAACAGTGTAACTCCCCCTCTACAGTTGAGGATGAATTTCATTTGTATTGGTCTGTTCTAAATTCGAAAATTTCATATCCCGTTTTATCAAAAGCTATTATTGGAGAAAACCATCTGTGTTTTAAGTCGTTCAGTTATTGAGTGTCCATAATATCAAAGAATTGTGTCTACTAGGAAAATTCATCTATCAGGCAAACAAACTAAGGGTATTATAATGGAATATGATCGTCTTCATTATCTGTACATTGTCCATGATTTGTATATAATATGTATTGTATACTGATGGGCCAATGGCCTAAAGTTCGAATAAAACTTGAATAAAATCATACGCCTTTAATTTCGTTAATTACTTTTTAACAGTTAATTTAGATCTAATCCACTGGAACTTAAGATTACAATTACTAGGTAGGTGTTAAAGGACTCTAAACTGAAATGTGCGGAACATTGATCCCATTTTTAACTGTATACTTTCCTTTAATCTGTAACCTACATGCTGTGTGTGGCATGACTCTCGCTTTGTACGTTTATATTTCTTATCTTGTATGGCAAATATATCAGTTATCGGAATCGGATCGGAATTGATTTAAATCCAGAATAAAATTACACATACGCGCAGTATATATTAATATTAATCAACCCCCATATTGCTGATTTAATGCTGCATATTTGCCATAAACTCATCATCAGATTAAACATTATCATAGCAAAAGATACTATCGACTTCCTGGTACTGATGGCCCTAACGTCGTATAAATAAACAGCTTGTTCCCATTCACGGAAACATTATAAGGTCCCCTGGAAATCCTATCGGCTGTGATGTTAAAATCTTTCTCTTTTATCAAACAAACGCTCAAATGAAATTAAAAGTCTTCAAATTAAGGACATGTTATGTATTATTGACAGCTGGGCAATGCAGTTTTGACGGGAAACCATTTCAAATTCTGTTTTAAATTGCGTCTAAGTAAATTAAGTTGGAGATTTTAATGTATTACGATGCTCAATATGGTGTTATTGTAGTCACTTCCTGGACCTATATAGACTTTCCTTGATATTATAATAAAATCGAATCCGATGTACTTCCGAACATTTTAGCTTCCACGAACAACTCGTGTGATATGATAATGGGGACGGTATCCGGATATGGAAACTGCGTGATAACAAATGGGTCATTAGCGTAGAACGGAGTTCGCTGTATTATAGGACATGACTAGTTTGTAGCAATATATGTGAAAATGTAAGTCAATTGATCCGGTATTATATATACCGGGACCGTCAGCGGATCGTATTTCTATGATAAATTGATAATAGGCCTTTGAAGAGCTGGTATCGATCCAAAATACTGGTATCAATATAGCTCCTATGTTAATGACTTGACTATAAATATGTAAATATGGTAAATGAAATTAGTGATCTACATGATATTATACTTTTGGTTTATTTTCAGCCCCAATCCGGATCCTCGCAGCCACCACCAGACCATGAAACCAAGGGAAAGCCTGAGCGTGTCCCGGATGTCGACGTACCGCACAGCGTTGTTCCTTGATTGGTCAAAAGCAAAAGTTGGAAAGTTTAACGCTGTGTTCCGAATACATGTCTGTGGAAATTTTCCATACCACAGTGGAAATATATTGTTTACAAACTGTTTATATTAAACTGCATTATTTATATGCATATCGAGGTATATAATTAACTTGGTTTAACGGTCCTACTGAACTGATTCAGTGTATTATACCATGAACACATGTAAGTGATAATGATTATTGATGAAAAAGGTTATTAAAAACTAATTGAGTCCAGACTAATAAACAAACCACACACCTTGTAGAGTCTCCGGCTCCTCGGACTGTCACAGTCTGTCAAGTACCAATTCACACCTACTGAAATCGTTAGTCTGGGAGGGAACTCTTTTAGTACATTTAAATTGCTTTGCTAATATAAAATCAGCCAAACAGAAACACACACTGAGATATATCTGTAAGTCCGACATTAGTTAAGGTTCTAATTTAAACCTTCGGTACTAGTTCGTATAATACATGGCCAATATCGGCAGATCTTCTCCTTTTCAAATGTAGTATGATAAGGATTATTTAATCAAATGCTACTACTATTTTAAGGCTATCCCGAAGGACATGTGTCCAAAACTAACAGCTCAGAGCAATGGTGTTGAAATACGATGAAATATTGTCAACCTTTCTGTATAAACATGAACTCATTATAATCATACGGGTCATCGTTTATTCCAAAGAAGTATTACCGAAGTACGCATTGTCTATAGACCCTTCTGCTCTTTGGCAGAGAACAATACTGCTCTTCAATCCACAAAAGATTTAATTGATTACATTAAAATGTATTACTTTACGACATTTATTTAACTCGGCCATACCCCACTCTGTTTACGTGACGTCACACCATTGTCTTCCAATACACGAGAATTACGTGGGCCGTTCTTATCTTGTAGGCCAGCGGGGGCTTGAATAAAACAAACCTATATGATTACTTAGACTGCCAATTCTCGTCACGAGATTGATGGGTTTGTACCGAGTATAGATCTGTGTGTATAAAATGAAAAATGTTGGGAAATATAGGACATTGTATTAACGATAGCAGATAAGTAGGTTAAAATAAAGACATGTATAGTTTCATTTAGAAGTATTTTCGGAACACCTGTGATATTTTTAGGAACCGATATACATAGCTTCTAAACTAAAAAGTGATAGCTTGGTTCAAAAACACTTTGTTTATTTTGAAATAAGTAAAATGCTATATTCAATATTTTGAATTTATTTTCGTCGTTGATTATGACTATATAAATGACCCAGTTTTAATGACCTTCAACGTTTCATATTAAAAACCCTGTTTTCTGACCTTCAACGTTTCATATTAAAAACCCTGTTTTAATAAGAAAAAAAACATCGAACTGATTTATTCCTTTTCACACAGCTAGATACACACCTTAGTAAAGGTCAAAACCAGGGGTCAAATTACTTGTTCGGTTGTCTGACCACTGTACAGCCCGGAGCTCATTACCTGCTCGACAGAAACCGCTTCTATCTTCCCAATAAAAACAATTATTGTAATTGTATAAGGAAAAGAAAACTGTTTTTATTAATTATCCATGTGGAGATAAAATCTGTTAAAGCGTTACATGTCGGGAGAGGTGTCGCGCGCGGGTCGACGACCGGAAGTGAGGGCCCAGCCGAGACAAAATGGCAGACATCCCATTAACAACGTGAAGACAAACACGGCCAAAATGGCCGCGAGGCTAGGTACACATTTATTGTCAATTAAAGGTAAAATTTTAATTATGTCTTAAATCATATAAAATCGTTGGAAAACTGTCAACTGATTTTATCAATACATTCGATACGGATTAGGTCACTCGCCCGGTATAGTTGGTCAATGGGTGTGTTACACGGTATTCCATGTACCGCCTAATGGGCATGGGAAAGTCGCGTTACTCAGGTGTACGCAGTATAAAAAGTAATGAATAAAACTTTATAAAAACAGTCTTGTACATATATCAGGGTTTGAACTGTTGATAGTAAATTATCTGAGAGACGTTCGCCGAATAGCGTGTATGTTTTCACGGTTTGGCCGCTGACACCTAGTTCTATAAAATATGAAAGGCAAGCATATTTCTTTTTAACGTTTGATGAAAGAAATAGAACTTATGTGATCAATTTCAAAAATTTCATCAGCGACAGCGTCTACATTTAATAATAGGTGATATATATCTACTGTTGTATTAAACAGTATATACATGTATTCAGAAACATTTGATAATTCGAGGCAATTGAAGTGCGGCTTAGAAGAAAACTTAAAACACACATATCATTTCTACCAGATGAGGGATTCGAACTCAAACACGTAACCTTATGAGTTCGTTGTGATAATCATTTTGTGTGGTTAAGGCAACCTTTTTGAATACCTGTATTCCCAGAAATGTAGTTCATATGTACAGTACAGAAAACAAACTTATGATAAATAGATACACTGTATTACCGTGGCTTATACCATTGACTTGTAGGGAAAACGCGATGCGGCACACAGCCAACATTCGACATTGTGTTGAAGAGGGCACTTACTCACCTAGGCCCCCTCCTTGACATGGTATGTGTCATATTTGGAGACGGGTTTTACCGTGACGACAGCTCTTTAATTCAAGGTCAAATCTTTTACTACACTAAAAAAAAAAAAGTTAACACTATTAAAAACATGGCGCGGACCCAAGAGTGTGATGGAATCCCCACATCCCCAACCCTTGTCCGTATACCCCCACATCCCAAACCCTTGTCCCTTTACCCCCACATCCCCGACCCTTGTCCCTATACCCCCACATCCCCGACCCTTGTCCCTATACCCCCACATCCCCAACCCTTGTCCCTTTACCCCCACATCCCCAACCCTTGTCCCTTTACCTCCACATCCCCGACCCTTGTCCCTATACCTCCACATCCCCGACCCTTGTCCCTATACCCCCACATCCCCGACCCTTGTCCCTATACCCCCACATCCCCGACCCTTGTCCCT